CAAAGTCTCAGCCGTTTTGAAATAAAGTAGGGTACTACTTCAAGCCACCGCCGCTAGATGGCGAGTATCATTAAATCTGTAAATCAGCAAGTGATAAAGTAAAAATAATTGTATAAGTCAAAGCACGGTTTTTTAAGTAAGACATATGCTTTGGAACGAATAACCAATGGGCTGATTTATCGATTAAAGCTCGCCTCCTCATCTTCCTCGTATCGAACGCATCCGCACGAGATATACCCACATATCTAGATATAATAATGGATAAGCGTATAGCGTGGAATTTTTAGGATGATTTCTCGCGTAGGCGCGCCGGTACGTGCCGGTGCCGCGCGCGTTCCTTTGGCGCGAGCGCCTCGGATGTACATAAAGACCGATCTACAAAGGCACGCGTCTCGCGGAAAAGTAAAATCTCGGGGGCCGAGCTAAAAAAAAAAAGAGCCCCGCACATCGAGAGAGAGAGAGAGAGAGACACACACATATTATACACGAGCACAGAGGCGCAAGAGTGTGCAGCTACAGCAGCAGTAGCAGGCTCTTGACATATTGCTACCTAGGCATCTCGGCGCGCGCTGTAGCGGGGCTGGCTATATAGTGGCTGCTGTATATATTTGTAGCAGCACCAGCACGACTACTGAGCTACCACCTACTACTGCTGCTGCAGTCGGGTGCAAGAGAGAGAGACAGAGACAGTAGTGAGTGTATCGTGCAAAAGTGCCTCTTGAGAATGCACCCTCTCTCTCTCTCACTCTCTTTCTCTCTTTGGGTGTGGGAGGTGCAGCAGCAGCAGCACACTGCATGCACAACTCACAGACCTCTGGAACTCTACCTTGCACTATACTATATACTGCTCTCTGTATCTTTGTTGCCAAGCTAGAGGCGCGCGCGCGCCTGTCTTTGTCTGTGCAGCGGCGTTTATTTTTCGACTTCCGCGCCAGACGCGCTCGGAGCAGCTATAGGAGAGGGGCGAGGAGGAGAAGGAGAATTTTTTTCATTTTTTCCGCTCTTTCGCTGCTTTTCTCCTACCCACCGTATACCTACCTTACGCCCCGCACTTCTCGGCGGGTCTGTATAAAGCAGCCGATCTTGAAGCGCCGGGCGAGAGCTTTGATCGAGAGAAATGACTGCAGCTGCTTAATTAAGCCGATGGAAAACGGAGGGGTGGTTGGAAAAAAGGGGGGAATGATAATCGCCCATAAAAGTGACTGCACGCCATTTCATATACAAAGTTACGTGTACACGAGTTTCGGACGATCGTGCGAGGTCTGACCATTTATCGATTGTTTCACTCATATACGAGTTATTTCGTTATAATCCTCGCCTGTCCGCGCGAAGCTCAAAATTCATCGACACGAGCTCGAGGCTCTGCGTATTTATTCGTTCGCAGTTGCGTTATCGTCGGCCGAGCCCGCCAGGCATTAGAGATCGCAATAATTCGTAAATAGTATATCATATGGCAGTGACGCGAGCTTTTAAACGTCTAAATAGCAATTGGCTGATGCGTAGTATAAACAAACGACAAAAAAGAAAGAATAAGAAGTAATTAAAGAGTGCCAACGCACACGAGTTCTCGAGGGTAGTGTATGCATAATAGCTGAGAGAGATAGAGAGAAAGAGTTCGCATGCGAAGAGCTATACACTGACGTCACGCGTGATTATTCAACCCTCTCTCTCTCTGTCTCTCTTTGCTGTGTGTGTGTGTGTGCAGTACTCAAATGAGATTTAATTAATCCAACAAGTAGGCATAGGCCTTCTCTCTCTCTCGTTCTTTTTTTTTCTCTAATCAGACTCGAGCTATAGGTATATAACAGATGCACAGTGTATTTATCTTTACGATACGTATTCGATACCGTACGTGTGTTCGTGCGTTTGTTTTTGCACACTCACACTTGGCAGGCCTGGTATTACACACATACGACACGCATACATATAGGCCCTCGTTCGCGCGCGTGCTGCACACGGTATATAAAAAAAAACACGTACGCGCGTCGGCTCTCTCTCTCTCTCTCTCTCTCTCACATACTCTCTTACATTTTCTCTCGCTCTTTCTCTTTCATTTCACGCATGAGCATGATGAGGCTCCGCTGAGCGGCGGCGGAAACTATGTACACGTAGACGACGATGACGACGACGACGACGGGTGGTGTGTGTGTGTGTGTGTATACGTAGGTACACACACGTCAACGACGAGGCATCTTTGCTCCGTTGTTGCATCGTCGGCTCTCACCTACACACCGACGATGCGTTTATTGTATACGTATATATAGTATATAAACTGCTGCTGTATACGGATAGTCGATCGCGCGCAGCACCTACACACACACACATACACACACACACAGAACAGTCGACGGCGCGGCGTCTGTCGTCGTCGTCGTCGTCGTCTCATCGCCATGACGCGCGCCACAAAGCTCCAGCTCAGGCAGTCTCTCAGTCTCGGAGCGCGTCGTCGACGTCGCGTCGACGTTCCTCCTCGATACGTATACAACTTGTGCATCGTCGATTTTATTTCTATTTTTTTATACGGAAGACGATTCAAGATTCGCTTTCGAGATTTGTGATTTCGTATCGGTATACGTAAGCTCGAGGATAGAGAGAGTCGAGAGAGAGTCGAGAAAGTCAATCAGTGCCGCAGTGATAATTCGATTTGAGCGGCGTGTCGCGCCCGAGTGTGATAAACGAGTTTATCGCGCGCGTAATTCGCTAATTTCCGAATGCAAATTTGTCAGTGCTGCATATTAATCAAGACCCGCAATTCCATAGATATAAAAACGGAGTATTCAGCGTGTATATTGTGATTTAATCGTCATTTTTATACTGCAAGATATAAAATACGTGTGCCCTTGAGTTTGTGTGTGTGCGTCTAGCAGCAGCGAGGGCCCGATCGACGAATCTCGTACTCCTCTGCCAGGAAGGATGTGTAATTCAATTACACATACACGATATAAGAAAACAGTATTTTGAGAGTGTGCCAGAAGGGAGGCTGTTGACCCGCCGCGAGCCAATTCCAAAAAAAAAAAAAACATCACATGTAGAGTCGCGCATGCATATGATGCGCAACGAACGTGAAAAAAAAAGCTTCATTTTTTTACTTGGCTTACGTAATTCTTGAGACGCGCCGATCGCGTCTGGACCGATCAATTGTTTTCTTCGTCGACTTATGAGACATTGATTTATTCTACTCGTCACGGCTTCGACATTTATTCGTTTTTATAGCTTAGATTCCGCTGGAATAATCCGAGAATATAATCGTACTCGATATACACGTTGAAGGAGATAATTATAATCAGGCAAGTTGAATGAAGTTTTACGAATGCATCAATAAAAAAACATATATTTCCCCGATTAAACGCTGAGAGATTTCAATTTCTCTCTTTCTTTACGATATACACGTCGGGGGGGTAGAAAAATAACGAATTTAGCCAAATTGCCAAATGAAATTTCATCCGCAGTCTGCGCGAATAATAGTCATAGTTATATATAGATAAACTCATCCCTCGAGGGAAAAGAGCGACAGTGAGAGAGAGAGTCGGCAACGAAGCGGTCGCTTATTTAGCTTGTACACTACTATGCGCGACGGCAATAGTATAGTATAGTAGTAGCAGCAGCAGCATCAGCAGTCGATCGCCTTTCGGCCCCTCGTGAGCCAACGTACAAGTGCGTGACCTCGATTCGCCGAGAGAGAGAAAGATAAAAGTTTTCACTAACAAAAGGGTCGCTCGAGTATGCACACGCTTGTGTGCCTCTCTCTCTCTCTCTGTGCATTGTAGCCACGCAATACCTGTGCGCCTGTGTATACACTGCCTCCGTGTGTGTGTGTGTGTGTTGACAACTGCCGCAGCTGCTCGTCGATGATCGCGCGCGTAATGTTTTATCAGTGTGAGTGTTTGGATATTTTTTTTTTTTTTTTTTTTGAAAGTCGAGTCATTTGGCGGAGAGCATGAAAAAGTCTACCCTTATACATCCGGTGGGGTGAGCTCGTATTTGCGCGGCGGAGCCGCAGAGCGCTTATCGAATCGAATCGCGTTCGTTTAATCAATTTCCATTTTTTCGTTTGTTTATTTTTCGTTCGTTCGCATGCCTCCGCCCCCACGCGTCCGAAGCGAGCAGCGACGCGCTAATTTTTCGCGCCTCTGCTCTACCCTCGCACAGGCAGCGGAGCAGAGATATATATATGTACCGTCAACGAACCGTGTGTGCTGTGCTGCGTTCAACAAGTTTCGCATAATGTACTTATGTACGCGCAAACGTGTAGCGTACCGACGCGAGCCGCGTGCTGCGCTGCGTCTGTTTTTGTGAATTACCCGTGCCGTTTAAAAAAAAACTTAAAATTTAATGTAAAATCAGACGTTGAAATTAAAGCAATTTATAGTAATTTATACTGGTTCAATACAAAAAACTTTAAATGCCATCTCAAGCATTAATTTTAATGCAAAAATAAACGAACAAAGTTATCTCTTGATTCAAATTTAAACATTTTCATTAAAAGTTAACGTCAAAATACTTATTTAGTTTGAAAAATTTCTGAAAATTCCATATAGATTAATGATGGCAGTAGCCGCTAGATGGCGACGTACCTTTATCTGTAAATCCGTAAGTCAAAAAGAAAATAAAAACTTATATCAATAAATAGCTGATCACGAGATGAACCGTATCGATGAATGAAAAGTATCGACTTCGCTGTAAAGCTAAACAAAAAATTGTAATTTTCTACTCCAATTTAAAAATTTTGATTGAAAATCAACGTCGTAATACTTATTTAGTTTTTGCGCTAATTACTAGAAAAGGTCTGAAAATTCGATAAAAGTTAAGGTCGACATTCACCGCTAGATGTCGACGTACCTTCATCTGTAAATCCACAAGTGGCAAAGTGAAAATAATTGTATAAATCAAATCAATAATTTTGAAATCTCGATCCACATCATAATAAATTTTTATGCTCCCCCATTAATTTTAATTAAAAAACACCTCTAACAACGATGCATTTGAATCGCGTGTTGCAGATAATATGGGTGTGCATACTGTGCCGCAAGAAGCAGGAGCTGCTGTCCAAGTCGGGCCAGTGGATGATGAAGCCCGGCGGCCAGGAGAGCGCCATGATGCGCCGCATGAAGGAGGACATGCAGGGCGGCGTGATGCCACCCGCGGTGCGCACGATTGATCCGCTGCAGGACAAGAGGCCGAAGCTCGAGCGCGCCCAGAGCGCCGTGGAGAAGGAGAACGTGCCCCTGCTGCAGCGCAGCAGCAGCCTGCTCAGGCGCCAGTACTCGCACCAGGAGCCGGGCAGCTGCGGCGTGGGCCAGGTGAGGCGACTCTCGACGACCGACAGCGGCGTCGACATGTCGCTGGGTCCGCACGCCAGGACACTGCCCATGCCCAACGTGGCCCAGTACCAGCAGCATCAGCAGCAGCAGGCCCAGAATCAGACCCCGAGGCATCCGGACGCCTTTCCCGAGGACGATCCGAGCCTGTATCGCGGCGAGCTCGACGGACTGATGAGACAGAACTCGTCCTATCAGAGGCAGCGGCAACTTTATCAGGTACGATACGATGAGAGAGAAGCGCGTCGTCGTGCTTTTATTTTTTTTTGTATATTAAACGATTTTATGTATCGACGCGTATATAGGAGCAGAACTCGGAAATAGCGATGGCCTACGGCCACCCGATGAACCCGATGAACACGACGCCACAGGGAATGATGAGGCCCGGTATGCATCCCAGACCCCAAGGACCAATTCAAATGCAGCAGCCGCTGCAGCAACCGCAGCAGCAGCAGCAGCAGCTTCCAATGCAGCCGATGCATCAACAGCAGCAGCCGATGCACATGCAGATGCAGCAGCAGCCACAGCAACAACAGATGCCGCCTCAGCCGATGATCAGGCCGCAACAGATGCAGATGCAGCAGCCACCGCCGCCGCAACCGATGCAGATGCATCCGGGACCACATCACTTGCATCCGGGCCATCCGGTGATGGGCGCTCCGGGCCAGAGGAGCTTCAGCAGCAGCGAGGAGGAGCGCAGCACGCCCGAGTGCGCCAGCGACGAGCTCGACGATCGGGAGCACGGTGAGTCTCTTTCGTCCTCCTCGTCTCTTTCTTCTTCTTCTACTATACTCCTTTTTTTTTCTTATGGCTAATTCGCTTATACTCTCTTTGCTCGAAATTCGTGTATCACGAATATGTCACAAACTATGTATACGGCTCGATCAAGGATGCGAATCGAAGTTTGCGGGCCTTTGAATCGTGCCAAATGTTGGCAGCGTCGAAAGATAGAAAGAATCGAGCTATTCTTTCGTGGCAACGATTGCCGTTAATTACTCAAAACCAAAGAGAACCAACGATCTGAGAGTAGGGTTATTGATATCGGTCTGCGACTGGACGTACATTGATCCTCCCCTATATCTAGGTGAAATAAAGTTGAGAGAAATGCGCAGCTAAACTATGGGTAATCATCGAATGGAACCAATCATATGGCAATATCGTCGGTATCGTGACGTTTCAGGCGTTATAAGCTTGCGCGAAATTATGCATCTTAATCGTGAAAATCTACGTAGTGAGAGGGATACACTGATAAAATCGTAGAGATTTTGCTGACACAGCAAAATATCTTTTTCTAATCCAGCTTTCAACTTTTGTTGGACTTGCCTCTAAGATTTTTTTCAGTGTATATAAATGATAAAAAATGAATTAAATTTTTTTTAATATATTTATTCGAATGAAAAAACTTAACAATAGTTATAACAATTCACATTCTAGAGTATAATACAAATTAATATATATTCTGTAACAGAAAATGACCATGACTATAGGCTCATATTATAGGCAAATGATGCCTAATCGCGAACTTCTCCCAGCTCGGCGGCCAAGCAAATATTGCACAGATCTTGGCACATCGTCTGCTCGATGACGGAGTCGCAGCAGAGAACGGGCAGCCGGTGGCGCGTCAGCTCCAGGAAAAAGTCCGTCGCGCAGCGCCGTAAGAATCGCCTCAGCACGTTGTCGCACATGCGCGCGATGCACCACCCGCGATGCATCTCGGAAAACACGTTCAGCCACTTCGTCCGCAGCAGCTTCATGTAGTAGGCGCTCGTCGTGAATACCTCGGCCGCCCGCTCGCTACTCAGCCGAATGAAGTCGTAGAACGAGATACCCGGATTCAGGGGTATCCATATCTTTTTGGCTTTCTCGGCGAATTCCATGTCCTCGTAGCAGGGGGTCGACTGACTGCGGGTCGACTCCTCGAACGCCTCGAACTTGACGAGCACTTTCACGATGGTCAAGGCGTCGCTACGAACCAGCGCGTATCCTCTCTTCTCCAAGCACGCGAGTGCCTCCATGAGGCCGGTCGCCAGGCACAATTTGAACTCGACTTGGGCGTCCGCGTCGTCGGACAACCTCTCGAATATATCCTCGTAGTAGCTCACGCCGGGGAACACGAAGTTGGCGAGATCGGCACCGTTGTCCAGAAGTACGTCGACCTTGGCCGGCGAGAGACCCGCCACGGCCGTCTCCAGCGGCGTCAAGCCCGCCGCGTCCCTCGCGTCGACCCGCAACCGCTTGCCCATCCTACTGCTCATCTCGAAAAAATCCCTCAGATGCTTCTCGTTTCCTTTGTAATAATCCTTGCACATGTAGTGCAGAACCGTGGTTCCAGCGTCGTTGGCCGCATTGGGATCGGCGCCTCGTCTCATCAGCAGCTCGACCTCGTGCAATCTGGCCTCTTCCGCGACGCAGAGCAGCGGCGTGTTGCCCTCGTCGTCCCGCGCGTCGATCTCCACCGGCCGATTCAGCTCGTCGACGATCCTGAAGAACATATCCAAAAAGTCGTCATCCTCCTCGCCGCTGCTGTATCTGCTACAAATCATGTGCAGCGCGTTACAGCCCTCCTTGTCTACGTGATTGGGATCGGCGCCCCGCCTCAGCAGCAGCTCCGCGAGTCTTCTGTGGCCCCCGATCAGAGCCAGGTACAGCGGCGTGTCGCCGTCGCAGTCCGGCGCGTCGAGCAGCACCGGCCGATACTTCGGGTCCGCGTCGTCGAGCAACATCCTCGCCAGCTCGTCGTCGTCGACGTCGCCGTCGTCTTCGTCTTTGTCTCTGTCGCAGGCCCGGTGCAGACAAGTTAATCCGATCTCGTTGACCGCGTTCGGATCGGCGCCCTTGCGCAGCAGCCACCTCACGAGATCTCTGTGTCCGCCTTTCGCAGCCAGATGCAACGGTGTCTCGCCGAAGTCGTTCCGCGCGTCGACCAGCACCGGCCGATCGACTTCTTGGCAAATCTCGAAGAACCACTCGGCCGTGTCGTCCGAGGGGGCCCTATCGCAGATCACGTGCAGAGGCGTGAATCCCTCCGCGTCACCCACATTCGGATCGGCGCCCCGCCTCAGCAGCAGCTCGGCCGCCCTCTTGTTGCCGTAGTACAGAGCGGAGTTGAGCGCCGTCCAGCCCAGCTTGTCCCGAGCGTCGATCTCGACCTCAAGCTGCATCTCGTCGCAGACGTCGAAGAAGCTCTTCGCGATCTCGTCGGGGCTGTTAGCGGTGGTCATCCTGCAGATAACGTGAAGAGGAGTCCATCCCTCCGCGTCGGCCAGATTGGGATCCGCGCCTCGTCTCAGCAGCAGCTCGGCCACGGTCTTGCTGGCCCTTTTCAGAGCGTAGTAAAGCGGCGTCCGGCCCAGATCGTCCCGAGCGTCGAGCCGCAACGGCCGACCCATGACGTCTTCGCCGATCTCGAGCAACCACTCGGCCAAGCCGGAATACTTATCCTTGCTATTCCGACATAAAAGATGCAGAGGAGTCAATCCCTCGACGGTGACCGCGTCGGGGTCGGCGCCTCGTCTCAGCAGCCACTCGGCCACCCTCTTGCTGGCGAGGCCCAGAGCGATGCACAACGAAGTGTGTCCGCGCTTGTTCCTGCCGTTGATCTGCACCCTACGCCGCGCCTCGTCGCCGATCGCCTCGAAGAACGCCTCCAGGTCGAAATCGTCGCTACGGCTCGCTCTGCTGATAACGAGCTTCCAAGGAGTAAACAATGCCTTTGTATCGCTCGCGTTCGGGTCGGCGCCTCTTCTCAGCAAAAATACGGCTATTTTGTAGAAGTTGTGCCGCATAGCCAAGAACAACGGTGTCCGGCCTTCGTTGTCTCGAGCGTCAATCTGCACCGGCCGATGCGTCTCGTCGCCGATCTCGAACAAAGTCTTCAATAAGTCCACTTGGCAGCTCTTGCGGCACAGGAAGTGCAGAGGAGTCGATCCTTTCGCATCGGCCAGGTTCGGATCCGCCCCGTTTCGCAGCAGGGTAACGGCTATTTTCCCGTAGCCGTAGTGCAGAGCCAAGTGTAGCGTCGTGCTACCCTCCTTGTCCCGAGCGTCGACCCGCACAGTCCGCTTCAGCTCTTGGTTGATCTTGAAAAATCGCCTCAACAGACGGTCGTCGTCCCTCGTTCTCGCCCTGCAAAAAGTGTGCAGAGGCGTGTCCTCGTCCTCGTCGGCTGCATTGGGATCGGCGCCTCGTCTCAGCAACAGCTCGGCCGTTCTCGCGTGCTCGTGACGCATGGCCCAGTGCAGCGCCGTCCGACCGCACTTGTCCCGAGCGTCGACCAGCACCGGCTGATTCAATTCGGCGCAGATCTTGAAGAAAGACCTCAGCGAGTCGAACTTGCTGCTGTGCCGGCAGAGAACGTGCAGAGGAGTCTTTCCGTCGTTGTCGTTGGCCAGATTTGGATCGGCACCTCGTCTCAGCAACGATTCGGCTACCTTCTTGTAATTGTTGCCCAGAGCCAAGTGGAGCGGCGAATCGCCCGTTTCCGGGACGAGATGGTTGGGATCAACCTGGCCGTGCTCGAGAAATTTCTCCACGACGTCGACGAGGCCGGAGCCGCAGGCCGCGTGAAAATGTGCAGCGTCGAATCTGGGATACAATTCGAACAGATTCGCGACGACGTTCTTGTTGAGGTTTCTGCGGCCGAAGACGCGATGCACCAGTGCGACGTGACGCGGCAGCGGCCGTCCGTCGAGTTCGGAGGACTCGTCCTTGTAGCCGCTGCGAGCCACGAATTCGGCGAACAGGTATCCTCGAACTTCGTCGTCGCCCACGCCCCAGTAATCGACGGAATCCGATATGAGGAGCTCGATTTCCTCCCTTCGAAAAATGTCTAGGACGTTTGGGAGTCCGCACCTCCAATCGACGAGCAAGGGAAAAATTCGACGAAGAAATTCGACTCGCTCTTCTTCGTTCTCCCAATTGACGCCTTCTCGTAAACTCTTTAGTATTTCTATTTTTGTGTCTGCGTCGTACAAAATTCCATCGGGCTCGTCGTTGGAATTGGACATCCAGGTATCGGCGTCACCCAATAAATCCATATCGAAGTACGGTGTGGTATCGATATATTGCAGAGAGTTCAAACTGAAATTAATATATTTTATTTAATTCTATATCCAATTATATGTTATGTTAATAGTTTAGTCTGATTGGAAAAATGATATAAATTTTATAAAAAATGTTTAATCTTCAGTTACGCTAAACTAATAATAAAAGAAACCGAATCGACTCGACGTATACCTAAAACGACCTAGTTTGTCGCAGGCAGTTTTTATGATCTTTAAATATGTAGCCGTAAGTAGCCGGAACGATCAAACTCGAGTAGTTTTTTAATTTTAAAATGTGCTATTCAAGCTTAGCAAGTTGGATAAGCTGAGTTGATTTGACTACTTACAATTGTACATTTTCAGAGATAAAAAAAACACTACAACAGCTTGAATGTTTCAGTTACTTGCTTTTTTGTATGAAAATATTTTACGCATTTACAAATACAAAAAAAAAACACTAGTTGCGTAGATGCGGTTGGTAACGATTGCTATTCTAAACTGTTTTAATCGCGTTTAAAATTATTATTGCAATTTTTTTCGAGCACGTTGCCCGCACTAACGACTAGATCTGCACTTTTCGATGTACTAAGCGTTAAAGTTATCGAGTATCGATACATCGAACGTGAAAATTATCGCGATTGGTCGGTACCAAAGTATCGATCTTTCAAACACGCATCGACACGATATAATTCACCAAACATCGTTACGCACACTCGCACACAAATTCACAGTCGCTTATAAATTAAGAAATATCCCGTACTTTTAATTACTTGCTGCGGACGATGCGATCATACCTTTGCTATTCACGCAGCGGCGTCGTTATATGTACCGACTATAGTACATATGCACCGCGATAAAACGAAGTACACGTTTACAAAGCTATAAGAAAGAAGTGCCACGATCTATGCACACATGTCGGTTGACAATGAGCAACTAGCACGAATACGTATTGTACGTGCACCGCTGGAGAAAGAGAGAGTGGGAACGACAGATAAGGATATTTGACTCCGTATACAATACAGAGACGCAGCAATTAGGCTGCTTCTATACTAGGATCGGGTGCGACTCTATTAGATCCGTTGTGCGACTGCTTACAAACTTCGAAAATGATACCTTTGCTTTTGTTAGCTCATTGGTTCAATTTTTCAAGTTTTCGAAGTTGATACGATCGATATGTGCACTGTGGTGTTACAGAAGCCCAGACCTTATGAAAAATGTCGAAGCTGTTTAGACTTTTAAACGAGAAATAAATAATCACAAATTTGAGCTCACATTTAATTAACTACGATACGTGTATTTTTCCTTGATTAATTTTAGCCATGACATTCTGAATAATTTCAGCTACTTTTTTAAAGAAAATATCTCAAAACACATATTCTAAATTATCGGTATCTTCTTATTATTTTTGACATTGTGTAACGTCCAGAAGGGACTTTAGTTTTGCGAACTAAATGTTCGGCACGGCCTTGGAAATGCTTCTGGCTTTTTCTCGCGCTTTGGCCCATTGATGAGACGTAGCGCGAGAGATCGGCTGAGACCGGCGATTTGGATAGACAAGTTCAGAGGCTAACGACTTATTTCGAAAGATTAAATTTATTTTTAATACTTCAGTTGTAACTTACGATTTGTTGTATCTTCTTGTACAGCGGTGGACTGAACCTTTGGCTTGAGACTCCAAGGACAGAGAGCACAGCACTAATTTTGAGAGAGCACTGATTTCAAAGTGTACTGCACTGGTGGGCTGCTGGAGCACGAATAGACTGAGAAATCTGTGTCTCGAGGAGACTCCAGTTCCCTCGGCTTTCGGCGGCTACAATTTTATTGCTTTTCGAGAGTTGTGATTGGTTCAGTTTTCAATTAGATTTCGGATTTTCTGTCTCTCTGCGTGCTTTTCTGGTTCCCCAAACAACGTCCAAATGCTCTCAAACGCTGCACTTACATTCGAGAGTTAGTTAGATCTTCCGATGAAAATGCTCGGAAAGAAAGAAGTAACCGTCGATTTTTTTATGACTGTCGTAAAAAAGGTGTTAGATTTCACAAGCTACGGTCCGAGCTGTTCCAGAAGACCGTTCGGAACTGAGCGTCTAGCTGTGTGTGTGGTGGATTGCCTGTTTGTAGGCGCTTTGGAAGGGTTTAAGTTTTGAATTTCGTAGCCTATCTGTAGACGACATTATATCGATAAAAATCGGTTCAATAGTCGCGCACAATCAATTTTACTATCGACAATAGCCAAATGCAGAATCCTTACTTTATTTGTTATAATTAAACGAGAAAAAAAAACAAATTGCATATGAAAGTTTGACCATGTTGCGCAAAGGTCTACTGCGCATCTCATTTACTTACTGCTCATTGCGCGCTGTAAACATATCGGAAAATTGTTTTTCATCATGTTAAATAAACAAAGTAAAATTTTTATTTTTCAATTATGACGCATGAAATTCTGAACTTTCTCCTCGCGTAAATAATTATACATTTTTGTTTAATCATTACGAGTCGACAGAGATCGCTAGTGTAAAGCCCCTATAGAGCCCCCAGAATGGCAATCCGCTGACTATTTTGGATGCGCCTATGTAGCAGCGACTCGCCTACGTTCGAGATTCAAAATTTTTAAGAATATAAATTTTGAATTACAAGATACAAAACTATACAAGTACATACAGTCGAGTCAACGATCTCGTCCACTTCTAGACTTTTGTCGTTTTCACACCTATCACCTCTAGGCCATGTGTTCGGTTTTTATTGCTTTACGGCACAGGAACCTTCTCAATTCTTCCATTTATCTTACATATCCAGAAACATTCAACGACTACAATTTTGTATTTCTTGAACGTATTGTTATACAAATTAATATTTTATCGCCATATGTTTTATTATACTGTCTTTATGCCACAACGATTTATATGTAACACTGAACTAAGTGTCTTGCCTGCGTTAGCCGCTCCGAATAAGCTAGCTACTAAAGATACTCAAAAAATGCTCGAATAAACTCCGGAATCGTGAATATCTCATTTACGTAAATAATAATAATAATGCATTCTAAAATCGATCGCAATCGGAGCTCATTCCGTGACAAGTGAAAATTACGTCGAATCGCGCTCGCGTCTACCTAGAGCACGGCTCGTTCGTTTCTTTATATACATTCTCGATTAATACGAGACGGAGTGGTGGCGGAAAATAACGTACATATATATAGGTACATATATATATTAATGAGACCAATGCGGAGCGCACACGATCGCGCGCTAAATAGACATTTTTTGTGCGAGCGAATCCTCGAGGAGTACGTGTATATATAAAAGGATATTTCAGACACGCGAAGGATATAACCGATATATAATTGATGACGTCACGACTCTTCCTCGTGTGTCTCGCAGTCCGTATACTATTATATCGTATATAACGTACATAGTATGCCACCGCTCGCCATGCTCGTATACGTGCTTTAACGATACGGTGACGTCATTATATAAGAAGCTCGACTGCAGGCCGACTAGCAGCAGCCTATATACGAGACGCACGTGGGATAGAAGCCGTGTGTGTAGTGTGACTCGCTGTTTTATTATTATAGTTCGCACACGTTTATACAGTAAACGTAAATAAAACAATGCTTGGTAGAGGAACAGAGAGCGAGAAAGGGTTTCTCTTGGAAAAGTGAGAAAAAAAAGACAGACAAACAAGCGGATCGTTCTGCCTTTTGACTTTTTCGCCTTCTGTCCGATCCCAACCCTCTATAGGTGTCGTCGAGCTCTCTAATAACGTTTGACCAAAGCTCGCTCGGCCCAGGCTCTCGACTGTACACTCGGTCAAACATATATATATCTATACACTGCACACACACACGAGCTCTCGGAGAGAAGGACGTGCCGCTGCTTTTCATTAAAGGCAGTAACTCGTGTATTATAAAAGGGGGGCTATGCTTCTTTCGTGCGTAGTTATGTTATACACATACCTATACTCTGTTTGCTCGCGCGCAGCTTTCGATATCATAATGTGTGCTCGGCTTCGCCTCGTTAATTCGTGATTAGCGCGTGTGTGCGTTGCTGTTTCGTGCGTATCCTTATACGAGCTTCCTTTTGTATATAATGTATTTATACCATCGATGCTCGGTGTCTAGTTGCGCATTTCTATACATTTTATCTTCACTCGAGATGTAAAGGGGAAGATCGATGGTGTGGAAAAATAGTTCAGTGATCTAAATACACTACTTACTTCATCGACAGGCGCTTTTTGCGTACGCAACGTTGTTGCTCCCATCGGTATACAATAGGAAAATATACATGTGTTATATTATTACGATACGAGCAAGTAGGCACAAAGAGATAGTTATGTGACAACTCCGTAGAGTCTATTGTACCCCAAACTTGCGAGAGATTTGTAATATGAAATAGAAAATGAGCCATATAGCAACGTGTACAGCAGTCTAGGTTTATTTTTTTTATTTTTATACACGATATAAATATGAAATTCTGCGATCTCTTGTGCGTAGCACGAGCTTCCATACGCACATGAACGTTGCTGCTATAATATATACCTCAGCTAAGGTAAGTCCGGTGTATGCATCCGATCATATGTAATTGTCTCATCTCTCTAATTCGAACATCCGATAAATCAGCGAGTGCATGCACTTTACTATGTGATAAATGAATCATTTTCATACAGATCATTATCGAAAGGTTAGGTAGGGGATGATTGTGGGTAGTAAAGAAAGCCATATCAACACGTACCTCAATTAGTTTATCAAGGACTTGTAGGAGATATGGGATTCTTCTTCCTCTCAACTTGCAAAAGTTTTTTGTAAAATTAATTTTTTCTTCATTGCATTTTTTGGCGTTTCACTTTTTTTATAAAATACGTCTCGCTTTCCTGGTAGAAATTCTCAACATTAGTAACAGGACAATGACCGAACGATGACTATTTGAAATGTTTTAAAATAAATTTGAAACAATTTGCTTATTTTTGATGATTTTTTGGTTATAATTATTGTACGAATAGTAAGCACATTTTGTATGACCTAAAAATGGCAATTTAATCGTTTCCAAATATTTAGACGAATTTTTAACCACTTTAAGTAAGATATTACTTTAAGTTCTACCGCTAGATGGCGAGTACCAGTATCTGTAAATGTGCAAGTGGTAAAGTAAAAATAATTGAATAAGTAAAGCAAAGTTTGGAACAATTTTAATGTGGCTTATTTTAACTTTTTGCTGGCAAAAAACTAGTCATGAAATGTTGAACATTTCTACCAAAGTTGTCTTGATTTTTAAAAAGAAAAAAGTTTAAAAAAGACCTGTAGCTCAGTGAGAAAAAATAATTTGCATTTTAAAAATCTGCAATAGAGAGGAACAGAAAAATCCCAATCAGAAAGGAAATCAAAATCCTTTTTTCTAAATTGTAAGCCCTCGAACCACAGCAAAGCAACATCCATATATGAATTTACAATTTAGCATCGACGATGAAAATTTGACCGATCGGTGATCCGATCGACGCGTGCACGCACCCGAATATACATAATACCGCGTGTCAATTGGGGAAAATCCATTATTGCACCGAACTGTGTTGTGGTTAACCATTGGCGGGCGGGGGCGATGCTGTCCAACATGCGGTAAATTTCATTTTTCATTTGTCCATTTGTGTCGGGATAAGTCCGGTGCTGCGGCGATGATCATCGAGCGTATGGCGCCGCACACATTATCGCGTTCAGGGAGGTAGGAGGAGTATCGAAACGGCAACGTTCGCGTTTACAATCGCTCGAAATCGCTATTTAAGCCGACAATCAGGTCACGAACGAGCCCCCGACTACAGATGTACAATATTTAGTTTTAGACAGTTTAGAGAGAGAGAATTACCGGTGTCTCGACTTTTGCAACTCGACACATCTAGCGAAGGAAAAGTTTTTTTTTCTTAAAATGAGAGTAAAAAGAGTTAGATAGCGATAATTGCTTGATTATATATTACGCGGCAGCTGATTTTATGAAGACAAAAAAAAATAAAACGGCGATTTTTTAGCTGTTCAATCGAGGGATGCGACCGGAGAGAAAATGACACGACGCGCCATGTCCAACGAGAGGATCAAGATGTTTTTCGCGGTACTTACGATATAAAATATTCTCTCTATGTGTCTGTATTCTGAATTGCTGTCTCGCTGTTCGTCTTCTTGTTCCAACACCATTATATACAATAATGTTATATCTGTGACTCTCTGTTTTATTAATTGTAATTATTCCCACGCATAACCCTCGCTCGTTGTTTATTTGCGTATGATGTACACATTCTCACGTGTGTATATACGATAAATGTAAATCGATGAACGTGCGCAATTTGATTCTATGACTCTTGGAAAATTAAAAAAAAAAAAATAATAATAATTTCAAACGATGGTTGAAGAAGAAAAAGGGTAAAAAAAAACAAGATTGTAGCGTCAAATTGTGTTACGTGCGAGCTAGCGTGTTACGTTACTTCTTTGGACGAGTGAAACGTGATGTGCATGAGTGTCTCTATATATACACGTATACGCAGCTATATTTATCCTCTTTATTCCGTACACGCATCGTGTTCGAGCTCACTCGATTCAGTTCCATCTCTCTCTCTCTGTCTCTCTCTTTTTTGCTCACACTCAGTGACTATATAACGTGTGCCATATAATATGCACGCGTTACATATAATACACACATTATAAGCCAACGGCCATCAAAAGCATATAATAACTCGTCGCGGTATACGAGAGAGACGGCGAATGATTTTGAGAGCCGTGTATAACGTGTGTACACTCGTGCCCCGAGGCTAGATCCGCAATTTGGGCTTTTTTTTTGTGTATGCACACGGCGAGAAAGAGAGAGAGAGAGAAAGAGTATAACGAAGAAGCATACCGACGACGACGACGACGAGATATTTTTTCTTTTTTTTTTTAGCTCGTGCTGCTTGCACCGGAGTATAAATAAACGGAAAACGAGCTGCTGCTGCCGCTGCACACGTGTGCACCGGCCGTGCTATACTACCGTCCCCTCGTATATGACACACTACACACCTTAACGCCGATAAGCGACACACATATATCGCCCCCGCGTAGACACCTCGATTTATAAAGTAAGTTTCGATTTGTTTGTTCGCGCGCGCCGTTGCGGGGCTGCTGTATGCGGCAGGCGGGGGTGGCTACTGTGTGTAAACTGCATCTGCACACTCATACACAGACACACACACACACACACAAGTATAGTTGTGTAAAGTTGGAAAAAGTTCAAAGTTTGGGAACGAAACTCTGCCACGGAGAAACTTCGGGGGCGCGCGAGCAGCTCGTTATGACTTATTCGCTGCTGCTGTTGAGCTATGTGTGTGTCGCGCGCGCGCGCGAGCGTGTACACGCATTTTTGGATTTCCATCGGATCGATTTTTTTTTATCCCCCGTTGTCGTCGTCGTTGTCGTCGTCAACGTGCTACATCGTCGCACCGCTGCATAATATTGTTTTCTCCGCTCGCGCTCGCTCGCGACAAACTCTCGCAGGCCCGAGTGTGCGACAAGCGACTCAATTATCGCTTATTACTCTGCCTGCTGCTGTTGTTGTACATTCGTCGCGCGAAAAAAAAACTTCCCGTACCTCGCAGCAGATATATCGGGGCTCGCTTCTGTGTATGCTGTGTATTGTATACAAGTTCGAGATGGCGTACGACCGAATTTTTACTTGTACTACTTGTTTTCACCACCAACGACTGTACTATATATATTGCCTCGTTGTCTGGATACTTTATATTTGTCAGTTGAGCTTTTGCTTTTTTTTATACATATATCAATGTGTCGCTGTGTATATATATCTCTTCTATCCTGAATCTCTTTTATATACACTTGACATTTTTTACCTCCCACACTTTATCACCTATTTTATATATTATGTGCCGATAAATCTCTGTGATACTCTAAAACAATATAATCTATACAGTAAAAAGACACAGGGGGTTGAATTGAAAAATATTCCATTCTTTTTTCTCCCTCGAAACCCCCCTTCATTCTTGATTAAACGAGCCAAGAAAACGAAACATTTGCTTTCGAACGATTCGAAATCGCAATCGTGGCTAGCGTGAAACGAGAGAACGCGCTAACGAGCTGCGGTGCTAGTTGTCGCGCGAAGACACCGCACCGCAACGCAAAAGTATCGTCGAGCAAATTGCATAATTTGTGCACTAGCTTTAGGTCATGCGTATTTACCTTAGGCCCGAATCTAGCGATAGATTAGAAATCTCGCGGTCGTTGAAACGAAATTCAACGTTGTTCGATAGGAAATTCAAGAGCGAGCTAAAATAGCGTAGAGCTTTGTTTACGAGTTCGACCGTCTGTTTTGTTGTTGTTGTTGGGCCAAAAATTGTGATTTATTCGTAGGGAAAGAGCAGTACTACGAGGACGGTGGGGAGAACGGCCTCGAAGCTAGCCTCGTATTTAACGGAGAGCGCCAGCCGCCGAGCAAGGAGGAGATCAACCTCGCGCGCAGAAGCTTTCGACGCTCCGGCGACGATCGGATCGCGGACAGTCGGAGGTCTGTCCACAATTACTTGAACTTTTTTTCTCCCCCTATATAACAAATGCTAAATCAACTCACGCCCGAGCTTGATAATCAACCAAAAAAAAGTCCTGCATCTGATAGATTATGCCTTGTTGTTTCTTGCGGCCCTTGCGATTACGTACACGATGGTTGGCGTATAAACGAAAAAAAAAACAAAAAAAGATTCACCGAGCGAAGGGAGAAAAAAACGGTTCGCTTTCACGGCGGTACCAGCGCCGACTCGCAGGAGGACTGGTCCTGGGAAGCCGATCGCCAAGGTAGCCAGGACAGCGCGACCAAAGACTCCGGCATCGAGACGTCGAGTAACTTCACGAGCAGCGAAGACAGCAACAGAGGCGATAACAGTACGCTCAAGGTACACCACCCCCCAGCTGCTGCACCGGTGTAAAACTTGACTCGCTAGTTTTTTTGACGCTCGTAATTTATCTTTTCTTTTTTTATCTGCTACGAAGTCGTGTACCGCAATCTCGTACTCTGACTTACGTCTATGCGCTCGTATTATTATAATGACTTTATTGAACTTTTTTGAAATCTATAATTATTGATTCTTCTGAAAATCGACGATCGACGGCGTGGCGCTCGCTACAATTTTGCTCCTATTGCTGTACTTTTTTTTTCTCAATTTCTATCTTGTTCCGAAGCAAATCCGCTGCTCTCGGTCGTCAAAGCAAGTCTGTAGAACAATTTATTAATCTAGAATATCAGCTGGGAACTAAACGAATAGTGTTTTGTTTAAGTAGACGCTAGGTTGATTCCATCTTTTAAATTTACCCTACGTATGCTCGACTAAAAAAAAAAATTGTTTAGGGAAAATTTTAATACATCAGCTAAACCATCAAAGTATTTCAGTTGATAATGGGTACGAAAAAAAAATCAATTTATCGTCATCCTCATCGCAAGAATCTCTCATTTAGTCTAGCAAGCGTGAGTGCTCTCACACTATACAGATATATATAAAAGGCGCTTCATTTTTTTTACTCGTTAGAGTTGCTTTTTGATTGAATGCAATGAACTATATACTTATCTTCCTTATGCGCTTGAGTTTTTTAAGTTGGGCAGGTAAAATTTTCTACATAACGATAACTCATTTTTACCCATAATCAATTTTCATTTCGATGAGACTTCCTAAAGACTCATTTCGAATCGGTTGAGAAATGTATCATATGCAACGTTCAAGAAAACGAGAAGTTTCGAACTGAGATTAATTTTATTTTTCGATTAAACATCCATTAACCCAACGCAATCAACCCAAATTACTCGATACCAAATTATTCCATGAATTATTGCACGAACCAATCATCAATGACTTATACAACTTAAATCATACAATACATTTATTCAACTTACATAACAATACGCTTATATAAAGATATGAATTTTGTGCTTATGGGCTGTATCACTGTCAAAAATTAAGTGTCAACTAAATACAAACCAACTCGTTCAATTTTAATGTATGATGTATCGTGTGTCACTGTGTAGTCAAGTTTCTCTGCAAGAGTATTACGTATTTCGGTTAACATTTTAATTTTATCTCGTCACGATACAGCCCATTATAGTATTTGCCTGCGAGTATGCCGCACAGATATTTCAAGTTAAAATATTTTGTAGCTTATACTGTAGCGTACATTTTTATAGCTTGAAACGTAGTTGCTTTTAATTCAGCTGAACAATTTTTCCGCACATCTGCTTGTTGATTCGTACTTTCAATTGTTGCTTTGAATTTTTATATGTAATGTATGCGTAGATTGTATTTACTTTTATTCAAAGTCATAACATCTACCTCTTCGACCAGTGTTAGCGTTGAGTAGTATCTATGAATAATACTTTTCGTTGACGCTAATCTGCGCACCGCTAAAACTGGCCCGACTACGATCATTCGTTCGGAAAAAAAAAAAAAAAAAAAACATAATATCGATACCGGGCCTGACTCATCTCTCGTTGCTGTGTCGTGTCCCACATACACACACGTGCGCCGTTTCATTAGCATCCGGCGGCGCCTTGGCACCCCAGTAGCGACGGACAGAAGCTGATCGGACGCATGGTTCTGTGCAAATTGCCGCCCGGCCCGGACGGCGGCCAGAGCGGCATACTCGGGCTCAAGGTCGTCGGCGGCAAGCTCCTGGACGACGGCACGATCGGCGCCCTCATCGAAAAGGTTAAAAAGGGCAGTCCCGCCGATTTAGAAGGACAATTGAGAATCGGTGAGAATCAGATCAATCATGCTCAATCTCTCTCTCTCATCAAAAATTTCACTCGACACACACCACTGACATTGTTTTTTTAAATCACTTTGTTGAGAGATTTTTCACGTTACTGTAAGTGAGCTGAAAAACCATCATTAAATACGATGTATCGAAAACTTATTGGTATTAAGATTCGTGATATCGGATCGTAAATGATTTTGTTATGGTTAATTTAGAAAGTGCATGAAAAATAGCCTCAACAAATAGTCGGATAAATGTTCGAAGGACTTGGCAACTTTAGTTTGAAATTTTATCGAGATTCTTAAGAAACGTCGAAATGAACATTTTCGCCCGATATCTCTCGAGAGAAATATTAATTTCTCGACCGATTGAAAAGTTGCCGAGAGTCGCTCGAATAGTTTATAGTTTGTCACAGTTGCAAAACAACGCAAAAGAAATTATTCAAGTCTGCAAGTTTGCCACATATCGATCGACAAATAGCAGACTCGAAATGAGAATGAATGATACTTTTTTGAGCACCTTAGAAAAAACTTAGAACCGAACTGATTTAGTTAAAATCACTTAAGATCCGTTGCCAAGAATTGTCTGAATACCTCATGGCAGAAGGAATGCTCAACATTTTATGGCTAGTTTTTTGCCAATGAAAAAATTTCAACAGCTTCTGCAAATTCTTTAAAACCGTGCTTTGACTTATACAATTATTTTGGCTTTGCCACTCGCAGATTTACAGATAAAGTTACTCGCCATCTAGTGTTGAAAGCTCAAAGTAGTACTATCGTATTCAAATTTACTGACAATTAGTCTAAATTTTCTTGAAACAGTGAATTATTCAATTTCAAGTCATTTTAAATGCGCTTGACCTTTTTAACACAATTGTAATAAGACAATCGCCAAAACAGCAAATTAATTATAATGAAATTTAGAAACATTTCAAATTGTCTTTCTTTTTGGTCATTGGGTCATTATTAACGTTGAGCATTTCTACCAGAGACGAAAAGCAATTATTAGTGACGTCTCGTTACTAGATTAAATGTGAGAATTAGCTCGTATAAAAGTACGTAGTAACATCAAGACACGAACATACACACACGTATACGCAAAAAAAAAAAAAAAAATTGCCTCTGAGTGGTATCTGCATGTCGTGCCCACACCATGGTGGTGGTGGTTGTGTGTCGTGTGTATACAGGCGACGAGGTGCTCGAATGGAACGGCCACTCGCTCCAGGGCAAGAGCTTCCAGGAGGTTAGCGATATAATAGCGATGACGCGGGCCGAGCCACAGGTCGAGCTCGTCGTCGCGCGAGACACGAGCAAGCAGTCGCTCGCGACGATGATGGGCGGTGGTGGTGGTCCGGTGGTTCAACAGCAGCAGCACGATCCGAACGCGGCCAGTCTCACGCCCACTGCAGCGAGACGCTTCGCCGCTCAGGCCCAGTGGAGGCCCAAGTACGGCTCGGGAATTATCGGCCAGCCGAATCAACAGAAAGGTGAATAGTTATAGATAATGTAAGGACCTAAAGCACTGATCCTTGGGTTTTTTTTTCTTTTTTAATCAATTCCCATTCCCTGAACTCCCCGTCCAATTAATACCGAGCTTCGATCCCCCTTTTTTTCATCATTATAATAGCTATTATTATCGTCTTTCTAGAAAATCAATGTTACCTTGTCCATAAACGTCGTTCTATAATAAATATCCTCTAAATTAATATATAAAATATATTTAGACTCGATAAGATAATCAATAAATAATATTCTGATCTAACAAAATGGTACACGAGTTTGGTAGAATGAGAAATAGATACGTTGAATTAGAAGTAGAATAATAATTAGTTATCAGTTTATAATAGCTATCACGATAATTATACTGTTGTTATGCTTCATAATTAGAGGAAATGATAATATTTTGGAAAATGAATACATCTCATGTTCATTACAAAATCGTGTTTTCCTTCATGAAATTCATACTCTTGTATAGGCATCACTTTAGACACGATCACTCCACACGTTAAGTATATGATACATCTTGCTGTCGTTTTTTATCATTTTTGTAATCGATGTTAAACCTTTGATTGCACAATACCGATTTTTCACGTGTAATTAATTATACAAAGTATCTCTCATTCATTCACTTATCAAGTATGTTGTGTTTACACGAGCCTATACTTAAATTTTATTTTCCTTTTCTTTCTCTGAATAACAATTAAAAAAAAAATCTCGATGTATTCTTGCATCTCATCGTGCCAGCTGTACTCGCGCATTTCTCATACGTATAATATCTTAACTGTTCGCATAACGATCACAAAAAAAAGTGCACTCGATCAACGACGACGGAAGCAAAATTACTGAAATACATTGATGCTTCAGCAATATTTCGCGTACGTATATACGATGTAAACGTTCATCTATCCGAGTGTGCTTGGACCAGAATGGAAGCGAATTATCCACGTAAGGCCTAAAAAAAAAGTGTTACCTTCCCACCCTATACATTCGTAATTAATTTGAAACGCTAGACATGCTTTTTTTGTCAGGGATCCCTGTCGTTACGCTTGTTCCCTTCGAACCTTCATGGGAGTAACAACGTAAATACACACGAACAAATGTATGTATATAAAAAGTATATTATTACGCTAGTCTTAATTAACGAGAACGAGGAATACACGGGCTAATTTGGGTGGTTCTCGAAAATCGCATTCACACTGTGTGCCAGGACGTCGAGAGGTGCTGCGACGAGATATCCGATCGATATCGGGTAGAAAAGTGCCCGAGTGCTCGAGCGGCGTTCTAAATGCGTATAACAAGCCTCGAACTTTTGAACGACCCGAAACTTTTTGATCCTCCGCCCGTTATATACAGTATCTATTTCCTATTCTTGCATAAGTTTGCAAAAAAAAAAAAAAAAAGGACGAGAGAAAAATGCGAAACGGAGACACGAGGTGTTGGATGGCGTCGAATAATAATAATAAAAAAACCGTGTGTATCTTACGATCGCAGAGCTCTACGACGGCCGAGGCAGCAACAACAAGCCGATGGTGAAGGTGACGTCGCCCGGCTCGCCGGATCTCTACGGCCAGGCGCGATACGCCGCCAACCAACGACAGCTGAGGACGATGCAGGGACCTCCGCCGGCCGTCGCGGCGGGCAGCAGCGTCGGCGGCCGGCTCCAGGTGAAGCTCAGCTTCGACGCGGCCAGTCTGCAGCTGGTGGTGTCGATCGTCTGCGCCACCGGCCTGATACCGCGCAAGAACGGCCAGCCGCGCAGCTCCTACGCCAAGATGTATCTGCTCCCGGACAGAAGGTAAGAAGATTTAATGAAAAATAGTGAATTTTTTTTCAAACCTATATACTTTACAGCGAGAAGTCCAAGAGACGAACGAAGACGCTGGCCAACACGAACGAGCCGAGATGGGACCAAAGCTTCGTCTACAGCGGCATCAGGTGGACGGATCTGAGGCAGCGCTCGCTCGAGATCACCGTCTGGGATTACGGCAGATACGGCGCCAACGACTTCCTCGGCGAGGTCATCATCGCCCTGACGCCGTCGCTGCTCAACGAGGAGCTCGAGTGGCACTATCTCGACGAGCATCGTCAGCCCAGGTCGGTAGCATTGTGCTCTGCGGTCTTCGTCCTTTTTTTTTTTTTTGGTTGTCTCGACTAGCTGACGACGTTTTTTTTGTTTTAACGCTCAACACGTATACAGTTACTATCAAGACGCGAGCGAGGACATAGTGACGACTCCGGGCGATTGCCATCTGAGCCCGCCGTCGACCACCTCGAGGCTCAGCGACTCCGACACGTCCGAGTGCGACATCACGGATTGCGACGGCTCAAGGGAGCACCGAAGAACCGCCGATGGCGCGAGCATCAGCAGTATCGGCAGCTCTTCCAGGTAAAACGTCATTTTTTTTATTACCTATTTTCTTTTTTTTTTGCTCTAATACATTGTGCGCGATACACGGATGATATCCGCGTAGCTCGAGGGTCAAGTTATAAATTTCTTCTTCTCCATCTCTCGCTCACTTCATTTTTTTTGGGGGGGAGGAGAACGATCTAGTCCAAGTTGAAAAACGAATATATAATAATACCGCTATATATTCGTTGGGGGATGCAAGATATCTTGAAGAGCGAGATATCTCGAATATGTGACAAGTTATTAGTTTCGTACATACACTGTGCGCGACGAGCAGCAGCAGCAGCAGCAGCTTGGCTCGAGCGCAAAATTACTATTACGACGCTATGTATAATACGAGTGTACTTCATGCGAAAGGCGTCCTTTTTTGCATCTTTACTCTACTTCTGTGTGTGTGGGTGTGTGTGCACCCAAGAGCAATTTTGGCTCGATGTATGTAATTTTTTTTTTTTTTTTTTTTTTTGAAAAAAGAAAGCAAAATTGTTCGCTCTTATCTTCTTTTTTTTTCGTTAACGTACGAGATACGATAATACGACCCTAACTGAGAATTCGAACGGGGGCCAAGAGAGGAATAATTCATCGAAATGTGTGCGATAACGTGTCTCTATGTGTGTGTGTGTGTGTGTGTGTGTGTGCATTACAGCTTGCAGCTTGGAGCTTGGCCGCGCATCGAGAGCTTGCAGCAGCTCAGACCCCCTGAAGCTCCAGAGTTTGTTCGGCTCGCCGTATCTCACAGTTATGCCGTGTCGCGCGCTTTTATACGCGTGTACTCGGATGCACGCGTATACATACACATTTTTTTTTGTGCGCGATACATATATAACGTGGCTCTGTTCTACCGTGAGAGAACCTCGCACACCCCCGTCTCGGCTTTACTTTGTTTCATTTTCTTGCCTCGTACATCACACACGAATAAGAAAGCTGAGAAAAAGAGGGGAAAACGCACGTATACGAGATATACGGGTGTAGGGGCCGAAGAAAGGGTAGTTATACTTACGGCGGCAGTAGTGGTAGTAGTAGTAGTGGTAGTAGTAGGGGGTGTGTGCACTCGCGCGCGCGCGAGTATATATACGTACGTGCATTTACGCGTGGGGCAGCGCGTCGTCAGTGATCGCGGCAGCAGCAGCAGCAGCAGCACACGAGTGTGTGTCGGTAATAGCAGTAGCTATATATATATATAGCCATGTAGTAGTACAGTAGTAACAAGAGCAGTCGCGACGACGACGACGGCGGCCGTGGATGGCGGCAGCGGAGATCGCGTATACATACATCAACGTACATCGCGGAGCTCTCTACGTTGGAGCGCGAGCCAAGTTATAAAACTGGGCAACAAGCCAATCGCTATAGCAGCAGCAGCGTGCACTTGCCCAAGTTAGAGAGAGAGAGAGAGAACTCCTGCACTGCACTGCTGACTGCACTGGCTGGCTGGCAGAAACTCGCAGAAACTCGCGGGGGTGCAGAGCGCGATGCGGACAGTCGATCTAGATCCTTTGGCCGAGCAAGCAGCAGCAGCAGCAGCAGCAGCAGCAGGACCTGCCGCGACCGGATCGGAAATAAAGCTCCGAGGGATCACATCGTCTCGCTGTTTTATACATAAATACTACAGCTGCCCGATAGTACAACTTTGAGCGAGTGTTTATTAACAACGGGCCAGAGCAGAGCAGCAGAGCTGGCTAGCTAGCTAGCCCCACTTACCCGCTGCTCTCAATCACCGGATTAGTTCGTCAGTTCAAGTTCTTTTCTACCTCTCTCTCTCTTGCTCGCTCGCTCGTTCGTTCGCTTCGCTTCGCAAGTCTCGTGCTGCCGCGCAGCTATGTAATGATAAAAAAATGTGTTTTGCTCGCTGCTGCTGTCATTCCAGCGTGTACATCTGTTTACGTGCTCTTTTATATAATAATAAAAATACGACCGCATAATTGCAGCTGCTGTTTGATACGATGTGTGTGTTCATAGTTATTTAGTGCCGATCGTGTGCTTTGGGTGCGCTTCCGATGGTCGAGTGTCAGTGTCACTGCAGCCCGTGAAAAATAGTGCGCCGTTTTTTTATTAGCCAAGTGCCAAGCAATCGTACAGTGAAAATTCCAAAGTTGCGCGCGTGTACGTGTGTGTGTGTCGCAATGTGTCTCGAAAAAGTTACACTTCGATCATCGGCTAATTACGTTACGAGCTTCGAGAGCGGCTTGCTTGCTACGTCAAAGAGCTTGTAGTGCTGGGCCATGCCATGAAATTGTTGAATTCGTAAGTCACCGCATTCGCTTACCTCGGACGAGAATCTCTCTCCGCTATATTATAAACCTCATTCGTCCTCGTTACGATACCACGTAATAATATTGCCGATTTGTCGTCTGCGCGCTCAATCGTCATAACGAGTTACTCTCGAATTTAATCGAAAACTTGATTGATATTCCGAAGCCTCTCCCCCGCCCCCCGAGATGCGATGCAAGTGCATACTGTACCGGTGGTGGTGGTGGTGGTGAACATTATTATATTTATATGACGCGTTGCATATCGATGTGTGTATATGTATAACGCGCGTAGGAGTCGCGGCGCGCGACTACTGCTGCTGCTGGAAAGTGTGACGATCTCGTTCGTTCGCGTTTCGGTCGCCGCGTAGACGCGTTGACTGCTGCTGCTGCTGCTGCAGTGAACTCGCGTGCACGCGCCGATACACGAACGCACACACAGACACACGTATACAACGTTCGCAAGCTCGACTCTCTCCCACCCACACGGCCGCATCGCCGCCACCACCGCTGCAGCCGCTATATTACGTGTGTATAGATAGATGGTCCCGCTACAAAACCGCCACCGCTGCACAGCCGCATATTTAATAAAACGTTCAATATATACGCGACTAATAGGATAACTCAAGTGGGTTTCGCGTGTCGCGACAGTCATGGAATCGCGACTACTACCCCGCCGCAGTAGTGCGCGGGCACGACGCGCCGCGACGACTTTTCTTCGCTCGCTCGAGCTTTCGGTGCGGTTTCGTGGAGCTGTTGTTTTTTCATTTAAGTGCGTGAGTGTGTGTGTAATTTTTTTTCCTGATCGAGGTTGCGTCGTTGCGCCAATACCTCGCCAACATGTCATCGGACGAACATGATCAGTGATGATCTGCAATATTATTACAGCGACGATGGGTATGTCGTGCTATGCGTGCGCGCAATTAACGAAGCTTGTGCAAGCTCTCGTGTTACGCTAGTGACATTAACCTTTTTCAAAACCAAAAAAAAAAGAAAATGATTTTTTACCGTATAATTGTGATAACTCGTCGAAGAGTTCGAGTGTATAAAATATAACGCGAGACCAACCACCACACTGCGCGTTCACGTCGTTTCGAACTTTGCGCGAGGTATCGAATTTCGAAATGGTTATAAAAATAAGAAAAAAATTGCGGTATCAGACAATTCCATTCTTTTTTTTTTCTTTTTCTCCTAAGGTTTCGAATATCAATTATTTAATCTCGCACCTGTGGTGGCCCCTGGGAGAGAGAGAGAGAGAGAGAGAGAAAAAGAGAGCGAGAGATAGCGAGCACGTAGAGTTCAACAATTTTGCTTGAAAAGAATGAAATACATATTATATATACGCGCGCCGCAGTGAAGTACACTTGTATTGTCTCTTCTTTTTATTTTTCGTGTATTATACCTCATATATTATCGATACAATTTTTAAATATGAATTGATAGAACGAAAATACAAAAACTCAGTTGACTTTTTTTCTCCTGTTTTTCTGATACAATGCCTTGTGATTATATTTTTGTAGGTTTCATATGCCGCCAAATTATAAGCGGTACGAGCAATGATTTATTCTATATTTTTCTGTATATCTATATTCAAAAATCATGCGCTGCTTCAACCCACTCATGTAATTTTCTGAAATCATCGTTTGAATCCATATACATCGATATTATTGAACGTCCCCACCGAGCTTGCCTCTCTCATTTTTTCAATGGTATCATTTGTAATTTACAAATACAATATTGTAACGCTCCAAGTACCAAAGTAGATCATGTTGATCCATGTATTATCATAATAGATAGTGATCGATGGATATCCAAATCGCCAATGAGATTTAATCGTTTCGCCAAGTATCGCCAATTTAGATGCCGCATTATTGTTACATCAGCAGTGGCTTTTACAAAACTTAGTGAAACGCCTGATGATTGTTACGTATTGTTATGCTACTTGCTGTCATGCAGTAAATGCTCTGTAAAACCAATTCATCGTTATTTTCATACCCCACGATAAACCGTACCATATCGAGAAAAAAACAATATGCTGTTAATTGAAAATGAAATATTTGTAGTAACACACCGACCTAACGAAAAGTATAAATGATCCGCAATGCTACGGATTTGACTATTGATACACTGAAACATTCATGTGTCGCAAGACAGTGAAATTCATCTTCTGCCGCACGCCGGAACCGGGCCAAATTTCTTTTCTTCTCTCTTTCTCTGTCCTATCGAAACGCGCGTATACTTTCGGTTTCGTTCGTTTCCGCATTTGTCACTGCGGAATAGATAAAAAACAAAGAAAGAAGCAAAAAAATATGTTCGCGGCCGAAGTCCTGCAAAATTCGTCTTATACATTCGTAATTTTATCCGCCGGTTTCTCTGCCAAGTTGGCTACTTATACATCTTATACTTTATTTTTTTTTCTCGCAATTCGTCATTCGAAATTATTATACGGTTCTTTTTTTTTGTATGCGTGTGCAAAATATCCTACTTATATACCGAGACGTTATAGAAAAGAGAGAATCGCGCGTGAATGCAAAATCGTAAATTTTATTTTTGCAATGTCGAAGCGCGCGGGACGGCTATACGATTCGCACGCGGGGGGTTAGAGAGAAAGAGCGCGAGAGAGTAAGAGAGAGCAGAGCAGAGCAGAGTTGCGCGCGTGGAGAAAGAGAAAAAGAAAAACGGGCTTTTTGTCGGGTTTCTCTTTGTTGGGTTGGCCTAGAAAGTTATCATCAGTCGAAGCGCGCGGCGCGGCTATACGCGGCTTGGTACTACTACTGCTGCTGCTCTGCGCCAGCCAGCAGCAGCTCCGAGAGGGAAAGAAAAAGCTAGAGAGAGACATGTCTATATTCTGGACAAAGTCGACGTCGTCGGGATACGTCAATTTGATTCGGTTATTTTGGTCGCGTCGGGATCTCTGCGAGTCTGTGTGTGTGTGTGGGTCAATTCGGGATGTACAGAGCGAGCTTTAAAGCTGCAGCAGCAGCAGTGCGCGCGACCCCATGAAACGGCACTTGGATTCGATCCAACAGTGCTGCAGCTCGCGCACGCACACACACCCACCAACACACGTACGATGCAAAACCTTCTGCGTAAACGCGGGCACGGTATATAATATGTGTTTTTTATACTTTATACTCGCGTTGCCTTATATTCCTTCTTCTTCTTCTACTTCTTGTTTTTTTTTTCGTTCATTTATATACACGTTTCTTTCTTCGGCGCAAAGCTATATATTGTACTTTGTATGCGACACATTGGCCCGCTTCCGTTACGTATACATACATACACACGCGCTGTACGCGAGGGGGTTGCGGTTTTATATGTATAAAGTAGTCGTCACGCAGACGAGTCGTGTGTACGTAATGAAATGAGTCCAAAAAAAAAAAAAAAGAAGAAGAAACGCAAAAATTCAGTGCCGCAGAGCACTTCCACGAGACCCGAGACGCGCTCGTATTATATATATACCGATCTTTTTAACGTTATGATATACCGTGCGCACAGACGTTCGAACGTGTTCCCCGCGACATGCAAGCATCAGTAGTAGTATAGCTGCGCAGCAGTAGTACATAGCCGAGCGCATATCAGCTTTCACGTGTGTATACTCGTATGTGTAATTCATATATAAGCGCAATTTATCATCCTCGTGAAAAAGCATACATACACGCGATTAAAGAGGAAAAAGATGAGAGACGAGCGCAACCACACGCATATATATATACCTTACATTATATACATAACATTAGATGTGCATTTGAATGTCGTTTGCGATCGCTGCGAGGCCTACTCTTAGATAGCATACATGCGTATTGAACAATACGAGTGAAAAAAAAAAAACATTATCGCGCATGGACATAACAACTCGTATACTCCAAAGTCAACGCTCGACTAATCTTTTGTTTTTGTTGTCGCTCGCTCGTGCAGCCACTATTCCAGCCCGCCGCCCGAGAAGGAGCTCTGCGTCGACGGGGAGCATCGCAGTCGCCGTGACCTGTCGCCCCAGGGCCGTAAACGAGCGGCTCTCATGGGTCTGCGCGAGCATCCGGCCTCCATGTCCGGATACCAGTCGGCCTATCGCAAGGTCAACTTTCGCCAGCTCTCGGTAAGTAATCATCGATTGCGCAACGCCAAGTTTATATTCGGTGATTTTATTTTAATCAACTTTTGCGCGTTTTATACAGGACGATCCGCACAGGGTGGCGATGCTCAGTCACAGATCCCTCAGCGCCGTGCCCATGGACTCGCCGAGGATGCACTGTCGGGGCAGATCGCAGAGCCCCACGGGCCATCGGTCGCTCTCGCCGCCCGACCACAGGGCCTTTCCCTACGGCCCGATGGGCGGCTACGTCACCAACAGGTCTCTTATACGCGGATTTTTTACTGAAAAAAAAAGTAATTTCGAATTGGCGTAACGAGTATTTTTTTTTTTCACAGATTTTCGAGATCAGCCACAGTGACGCCGACGGGCTCGCCGAAAAAACGCCAACTGCCTCAAATACCAGCCAATCTCAACGCTGCCCTCAAGGAGAGAGTGACGCACGACTTCGAGGAGAGGGCGAGACTCATGAGGCACCGCAACAGGCCCATGCACACCATGTACAAAGGCAGTATGGGAGGTAACGGAGAGAGAGAGAAAAACGACTTTTCATCATATGTATCATAAATACCAAGAGCTACCGTGTATATATTTTTGCACGCAGTTTGGGAGAGACGCTTCAGCGGTCTGTCGGACTCGGATCTGCCGTCGATAAGCTACGAGCCGCACTCGTTCTCGCACAGTCACGCCCACAGGATGCACAGGTCGCGGCGCGGCCGCATCAGTCCCGAGAAGGACGTGCTCGCCGATCTCGGCGACTCCGACATGGAGAGCATCGGCTCGGTGACGAGCAGCGCCTTCAGCACGCAATCCGAGAGGCCGCGCGGCTCCAGGCTCATGTGAGTACACACAAGCGCGCAACGAACTTCGCCGCCTCTCTTTTCTATATTATTACATATATTGGACACGCGCACACACACAAGCTCCTTTATCGTCACTCTGGCTCCTCTCTTACCTTCCTTTCCTCTCGTAACCTCGACCATCTCTTCTTTTTTGATTCACAACTCCATCGCCACGAAACATGATATGATTATTGAATCCGTATTATATAATTGTATATATGCACTTACACGTGCGTAAAGAGAGATTAGAAATTTTATCGACTATATGTATCGTCGCACACGTGTAAGCGCGTATGTATCGAGACATCACGCACCCCGAGTCACAACTTGAAAACTCACATTGATTCTGTAATATTATCGGAAAGTGCGGAGGAATTAAAAAAAAAACAACAAAAAAGTTACCAGCTCTCAGACTCCTTGCGCGCGATACTTGCACGATAAAAAGCGCCATAATTCCACGAGTGCACTTGTTGACTCAATCGATTCTCAAGTCTGATAGCTCGAAAACTTTGTGAAAAAAAAAAGATGGGGGCCGAGACATAAAGGAAAATTCCCCACCAGTTAAATGGACATTGAGGATCGCTATGCGTCCCCGTTATATAGAATTATACGTTAGACTAGTTCTCTGTGTATGGATCTATCCTATGTGCTTGCAAACCCTCGATATCGCTTGGATCATTACCTATACATACTTGATGTACATAAACACGCCTAATGTGCGAACCGAGGCCCTAACACCCCGCTCCGAACTCGATCATAAGCCCGTCGCCATCGACCAATCGACAGACGATAACACCACGTTATGAGTAGAGAGAGAGAGACGTTTTTCAATGGTAGCATTATCATCATTATAGTCAGCAGTAGTGATGCACTTCCTTCATGCACTTGACCAATGTCCATTTAGCGAGCGGGTTTTCGATTACTCGCGATACAATAATGATAAATCGATCGATCGATCGAGAGCGTCCCATTCTACGCGTCGCGCATTATTATAACATTTAAAAATCATTGAAAGAAGTCTGTGTGTAGTTGCACAGTGCACCCGCACATTTTTCTTTGGGATATTTCGATAAACGAAAAAGAATGGGTGCTCTCGAGAACGAATTACATCGTACATGACCCACGCACGAACACAAAAACAATAACATACTCGATCACACGTAAAAACAAACCCAAACGAAACACACAAACAGATATATACACACACTAGCGTAAAGGATCCATTGAGTAATTTAAAGCTAGTTATGAGTTATAAAAAATAATGAATTGCGAATTGGTAATTATGGAGAACGAACCTTTATAATTACATGAGATTGATGATTGTTTGCAGACCGACAGTTAAAAACGTTTATATACCCGGTGTCGTATCCCCAATACCCCTGATACCCCCTAGGCGCTCTAGGCGCAAGCACCGACTTAGGCTGTCACCCTGCAGCGAATGCCATTGTCCGCTGTTGAGCAGTAGCGACGCTAGTAGTAACAATAACAACAATAGACATAACATGAACGGCTACTCGTCGTTGCTGAACGACGACGACGACGAAGTCGACGACCTCGACGATATCGACTGTTGCTGTTACGACGATTACGACTCGCCGTTGACGCCGTTGCCGCTACCACCGCCGAGAGTCGAAAGTAGTAAGCTAGTAGCATCAACGACGACGACGACAATGACACGACCGACGACGACGGCGACGACGCAGACGACACCCTCGAATCATCGCGGCAAGCATCCCCTCGTCAGGAGCAAGTCGGCGGTCGTGCGCTCGCTCTGCAGGAAGATACGCGCGCCGTTCGCGCGCTCGCGCACCGTCGACGAGGGCCTGCTGCGCTACAACAGTCACCACAACAGCCCCGAGACCAGCGAGTACACCGTCACCGACGCTTTCCTGCTGAAACCGCGACGCCACCACAACGGCAACGCCAATCGCATACCCGAGATCTACGTCGAGGACTGTCTCAGCGTCAACTTCAACAAGCGGCTGATCGACAAGTTTCGCGCCAAGAACAAGCGATTCGCCGACATAACGCTGGCCTGCTCGTCGTCGCTCGGAGACGGCGGCAGACGATGCAGCAGTGCCCTGGCCTCGCTGCCCAGCCAGTACGCGGCGAGACTCAGGAGCCAACTGATGCGCAGCTCCGTCGTGGCGGCACCGAGAAGACACTATCAGCGGCTTCTCGATTACAACAATTACAACAACAACAACAACAGCTACAATCTACAACAACAACAACAACAATTACAACTACATCAACAACAACAACATCTACTACAACATCACCACCGACACCACCACCACCACCACCACCAGCACAACCCCGCGAATATTACCCGTCAATCGAGCATGCGTAGATCCCTCCTTTCCTCCAGGGCACGGAGCTTCGAGTACGACTACCTGGACAGCAACAGCCGCCGCTCGTCGTCGTCCACTTGGAGCAGCAGCCGCAGGCGTCAGCATCAGCATCAGCGAGCGGTGGCCAACGCCCATCTGGCCCGGCGCAGCCGCAGCTTCGAGTGTCACCCGGCGCGGGCAGTCTCGGGCAACGTGTTCAGCGACGACAGTCTGCAGACGGCCCGCCAGAAGATCAAGCGCAATCTCGAGCTGAGCGACGAGGGCTACGGCGACCGGATACCGGCTCTGCGGGATCGGAGCCGGTCCTACTACGACGCCGGCACCGACGCCAAGCTGCGCAGGCACCTGAAAAAGCGCCAGGCCCGCGAGAAGGATCTGCAGCTGCTCGTGGATCCGCGCGAGGAGCCCGAGAACGAGTTGGACGAGAACGACCAGGCGGCGTGCGAATTTTACGCGGACCAGGCGAGGCCGAGGCTCATGTACGGCTACGACTCGGAGCTCAGCTGCGGCGAGACTGAAATTTACCTGCCCAGCGGCGACGAGGACGAGGATCGGAGAGCGAGGAGAAAATTACGCGCCGGTAGAAGTAGCACGCAGCAGCAGGGCCTCGACAACGAGGGCTACGACCCGAGCGAGCACATTTACTGCAGCATCGACGAGGTCGCCCGGGGCGGTCCCACGCCGCCGCCGCAGTTTCGCACGGAGCGCGACTGGGCGTTCGCGCGCGAGATCGCCGAGCTGTCGAGGTGGCGCAGAAAAAACATGCCTCTCGGCGACGGCTATCAACGGCTACCGCCGCCTCCTCGCGTTAAGAGCGGCGACGCGGCCAACTTTAGCCTCTACGACAATTGGAGCGTCGTCGACGACGAGGGCTACGACGGCAGCGCCGATCGTTACTACGACGACCAAGAGCAGCAGCAGCGACAATCATCGGTTTACGAGACGAGCGACGGTGGCGTGATCAGCGCCGCCAGCGACGGACAACGAAGGGCGAGGAGAGCCCGATGGCTGGCCGACGGTCGGGGCGAGGCGACGATCGCCACCGTCGAGCCGGCGCGCTACGAAAATGTGCCTTATTTTTATTACGACGACGATAGATTATCAAACGTGCCTACGAGTTCGCGCGACGACGCCGGCAGACTAGTTAAGTTAGCGGAATTTTTTGTAAATGTTAATATTTTTGA